TGGGTTATTGATGCCTCAGGAGCTTTCAGAGGCACTTTAAAAGTTATAGAGGAAATAACCACAAGAAAAGCATTTCTTTTTGTGTCTGCTTTTTCTCTCAGTTAAAATCAAGGAGTTTGATGACTTAAATACAAGGTGTTAATATGCAGTTGTTTGTGAGTGACATGAAGATTCCTGTAAATCTGTTCTAGTAGTAGTAACACTACGTGGAGGATAGTCTGTGTTTTGCATGACACATGGCTAGCTTAACTGTGTAAGGAGTGTGTGTGTGCTATAAAATGTCATCTGTATAAGGGACCAAGTGAGCCCTATTCATACTTCAAAATTCTGAATGTGAAGAATTGTGATTATCATTTTAGGTTTGACTTCCATAACTCTGCATTCTTAAGGTAGTCTGCGTTTAACCCAAATTACTTTCCCCTTAATTATGGAGTCAGAGTGAAATTCAGCTGTCGCAGATAAGAGCAATGCTATTTATTAACAGTGCAAATCGTTCATACACATGGAGAGAACTTAAATGTGCTAAGCACATCAGGACAGGAGATCGCAGTCCTTAAGGGATTCATTTATCCTTGACTTCCAGGAGCCTTTGTTGTGCTAATGACAGATATATATTCCCAAAATCCGCTGCCTCTGTCTGTGCCTTACCCTTTGATTTCTTTATTAACTCTCCTCCCTTGTCACAACGTGTTCTTGTTAATTCAGATCAGGTTTAGCAGCTTGCGTCATACTTCGCTATTTTTTAGCAAAAGGGTTTACTGAGTTCTCCAGCAGCTGACATGCTTTTCCCTCTTTGCCACGTCTCTCTGCCACTGCTGCCAGGAGGGGCCCCGGGGCGAGCTGCCACCCATCGCACCCTGATACCCATGGGTTGCCTTTGCTCTTAGAGCAGTCAAGGCAACCGACTTAATTAATCATTCCCAGCCCTCACTAATAAGCACGGTTTTGGTAATTTGGGCTAAACGTGTTCAGGTACCCTAGAATACTGAATGCTTTATCTAAATATGTAATTTGGGGTTTAGGCACTTACATAAACATTACGATTTATAGCGGCCCTGGGTGCTACTGACTTTGCTAAGGTTGTAAATCCTTGGTATTTCTAAAGTCAAGGCACATGTTTAGGCGAATAGTCATGGGCGTGGGTGGTTAGCTCACCTTACAGTGGTTGTTTGCAAGCAGTGACCACCATGATACAAGTAGATGGCACCCTTAGTACCATCAGTAAATGGAAAGGCTGTTGATAGGTGATAATGTCTTTAAGGATATGAACAGGAGCAACACATGCAGGTTAATGTAGGTTATCAGCTGTAAGAATAGTGATAAAACTATTAGAGAGCTATGAGAAAAGCTAAGAAATACAGAACATTTCTCATGAGCTTATTTTAATACGTGGAGTAAGGGTTTTTTTCTGAAACGCTATAATGCTGCAGTGTGTAGCTACTTCATTATACTTTCCTCAGTACAGGTATGTCTTGCAACATCTTGTACTCTCTCTTGGGACTAGATATATATGAAACATCAGCATAATTTTGCTCATGTGCTAGGCTCTGAACTCAGCTACAGTTAAATATTCAGCAGTTTTTATGAAAGATTAATTCAGTGTTATTTTTCTGTCTAATGAAAGAGTTGAAGAGAGTATTTCTGTTGAAAATTTCAAATTTCAGGTTTAGAAATTATGATCTTTATTATGCTTTCTAAAGGGCACATAAGATAAATGATCTATATAGAGTTATAATTTCTTTATTGAAATCTTTTTCTTACAGGATACTTATCCCAGCATCTTAATTACAGTCTTCTGTGTACTTTGTTGTCTTCCCTTGCCATTTCAAAATACATTGTACATATTTCTTACTGGACACACAGTAAATAACCTATAGAAAACTAAGGGCATTGCATAGCAGAATGGTGCAGATATGCAGATGTTCCTACATATTACAGATTTAATTTGGATTTTCTGTTTGGTCAATACTAAGATTTTAAATGATATGCGTGTCTGAGGAAGGAATACAGCTTTGAGGCAGTTTCTGGTAGAAATCATTTATACGGCAGTGATCCAAAGGAGAGAGATTAAAGCAGCAACACAAAGTTCCAATTTCTGTCCTTAGCAGGTTCTTTCTCTTTTTTTTTTCTCCACATCTTTCTCTCACAAAATTTACTTGCATTATTAATGAAGTTCAGTCCTAGCACTGGTGTGGAATCTGAAGGATAAACTCAATCAGCAAGTTTGAAGTCCTAATCCTTGTAAAGCCAGTCTGAATAACAGATGATATTAATCAAGGCACGATAGAAGGTACCTATTCAGCTATTGCTGTAATTGCGACCTTACTGGTTCTGTCTGTGTTTTTCCCCCTGTGTTTTACAGAGCACATTGATTTATGAAGATGTCTTTGTCTTATATCATTAATGTTAGAATGATAAAAAAAGTCCAAAAAGATTGGAGGATTGGTGTGAACTGAAAGCTATCAACTGGTTTATTGGCAAATTGGGGATTTGTTTTTCATTATGATTCTGCTGCAAATGTGTGTTATATTGTATAAATGGGGTTCTTTTTGGAATAGCAGAGCTGCACTCTGCAGGAATTTAGAAGGGAAATTATGACCAGGCCTGCACTCTCTTAGAACACAACGGGATCAGCATAGTATCTTCAAACAGGTTTTCTGGACCTCAGATTCAATTTTGTAGGAAGAAAGCTTAGCTGTTAACTCTTTCGTTCAGTCTCTTTGGGATGTATTCCTAGAATTAAAAAAAAAAAAACAAACAAACAACCCCACCAAAAAAAAATAGTGGCAAAGCTGTCTTAAGAATTCCTCTGCTGTTTCTCTACCCTCTCATCATTCATTCCTGCCTCAGTCCACCAGCCTCTCAACTGTTCAACACAATAGGTTGGGGATTTTTTGTCTTCTAGAATTAGTTGATTCATTTCATAAATAAGGTTTAGCAAAAGGCTCTCGCTTCCAACAGCAGCATGTCTTCAACTGGGAGATCTGTAAACAGTATCCTGGGCACAGAGGAAGATGGATGAGAACTGCATAGAGTCACACAAATGTCTGTTGGAAGGGTCCTGTGGAGGTCGCCTACTTCAGTCTCCCACTCCAAGCACTTCTATGGCCAATGGAGAACAGCTTTGTCTAGTTGAGTCTTGAAATTACCTATAGTGTAACCTGTTCCAGTTTTGCACTGTCCTCCTAGTGAAGGACTTTTCCCTCATGGTCAGCCTGGATGTCTTAAATCACCACTTGCAGTTATTGCCCCTGTCTGCCACTACCAAGGACTTTGTCTCCATCGCTGTGTAGCCCCCCTTCAAGCACTTGCAAGCACCTATTAAATCACTGCTTAGTCTCCCAGTCAACAGACTAAACAAGCCCAGCTCGCTCAGCCTTTCCTTATAGTTCATGCACTCTGGGCCCATGACCGTCTTGGTAGTCCTCTGTTGGACCTTCTTCAGTTTCTCCACATCCCTCTTGAACTGGTGGGCCAAACTTGGACAAAATATTCTACGTGAGACCTAACTGGCACTGCACAAAGGGGACAGTAAGTTCTGTCAAGCAGCAGGCTGCACTACTCCTAATGCAGCCCAGTATGAAACATACCTCATTCCCAAAGGAGAGCACCCTGTTTGCTGATATTCAATCAGGTGTCCACCAAGTCATCTTAGCTCTGCTTCAACTCAACCTGTTACTTCTTAACATCTGAACATGTGTGGGCTTCCTTATTCCAGCCCACATGCAGAACACTGTGCTGCTTCTTGCTGACCCACAGGAGGCTTACATTGATCCTTCAAGCTTCCCAGAGTCCCTGTAAACTGCAGCTCTGCTGTTCAATGTGTCAGCTATCTACTGCTAGCATTGTCTATAACTTTCTTAAGCCTACTTTGCTGACAAAAGGATTTTGTTGTATATCTGACCCCAGAAGGCTTGGAAGGAGAAGGAAAAAGCAAGACCATGGTTCCGTCTCACTGTTTGCTTGGTCTTTAACTTGGCTAAAAAGTGGTGTCACTTGTAATGCATCCTGGACAGTCCTCCACCCAAGAAGCAGCAGGCACTGTAGCATTTTCGGACCCTTGTACGACAGTCAATTGCAGTGACCTGTGGAAGGATGGAAACACTGAAGGGTTGAAATTCAATAATCCTGTCTGTTTTGAAACACTAATTAACTGTTGCACAGTTTTGCTGCCAGCAAGCCAGCTACTGCAGTGGGCTCCTATTACCATGATCAGCAGGCAAAGAGCTGAATACAAAAGGAAAGAAGCTAAAGAAAAAGGAGAAAACCGAACTTCTGACTGAGACAAAGGTTGCAAAATAAGTAAAAATTGCACATCATTATGTATTTTGTATCAGTAAGAAAAGGAAATTCATCTGATCTTCTGTTTACTGAGCCAGCAAAAGCTTGCAGTGCTACAGAGTTGGTACCCTGCAGTCTTAGAATGGGCCTATTTTATATCATTTAACAATTTTATATAGTAAACATAGCTTTGTTACATATGAGTCCTAAAGAGAGAGCTCCTTTCAGAAGTTGTTTGGTGGATATACAGAATAACTGAAGGCTACATTCAATTATGCTAATTGGTATTCTGTAAAATCATCCAATCAAATTAATCTAGTGTAAATTTTTGCGTGCAGAGGTTCAATGTATGATAGAATTTGTGTTTTGAGTGCATAAAGGTAGCCAAGGATGTCTGCCAAAAGAATATAAAATATTTATAAAGTGCATTTTTTTGTCTAATTTCGAGTTGTTTGCGATTGGTACCTTTTGTATGTGAAAGTCCATTTGCATCTTATATACAGATATGTTCTTGGCGTCTGCTTTGTGTTTATGCCTGCTGTGCCTTGTGTGTTTTATTTTCTGTGTACATGTTCTTTATGGCCACCTTAACTACCCGTATAAATTTGCCTGTCTGCGTATTATGGGTAGTATTCCACTCCCACTATATGATTTTTCAGCATGCAGGTGATAATGCAGAGCAATTCACCCACATACCATCCATGTAATTTTTGGTTCAGGTGGTTTGGCAGCTCAGCCAAAATACAAGGTTTCAGCAAATTTCATCTTTTGTGTTTCAGGATTACAATGATGAAATTCGTCAGGAGCAGCTGAGGGAACTGTCGTATTTGAACGGTTCTGAGGATTCAGTACGTGGACGGGGCATTCGAGGAAGAGGGATCCGTGTGCCACCTGCAGCTCCTTCAAGGTGTGGTAGCCTAAGCTATTATGCTAACAGCTTTAGAAAGTTTAAGCAATGGTAAAGCAAGCATATTTAAAAAAAATCACGTACACATCATGGTCAGTAAACCAAACTATTTTTCTTCTGATAGCTTGTGTGGTCTATGTTGTGCCAGGTTCTCTGATCTACAGTTTACAGGCTGTAGTGGGTGATGTACAAGTATCAAACTACAAATCAGAGCAGATTCTGAAGCCAGTAAAAAGATATTTCTAGGAAAGAGTATTGTTATGCTGGTACAGAATTTGTATGATCAGTAGCATAAAATCATTGGTCAATGAAATAATATAGCCAGAGATGCCTACATAGTCTGGATGAAACTTTATTTGCCAGACAATTAGGGTTTTTTTGTATGTGGATTATATCTACCATATATAAAACACATTATATCTTATTTGTTATATGCGTTATCAGTTTTATATGAACTTCATTGGCATCATCTAAAAACATTGGTATATGAATGTTTCCTGAATTTTTTCAAGTATTTTTTCATGTATAGGTAACAGATAGCTCTGCTTGTTCAGAAGGTCGGTGTATAATCTTAACACACTTTCAGACTCATTTTTCACTCTGGACCCGTAAGAAATTTGTTGCCTAAGCCATCTAAGTTACCTAGTTACTTCTAGGAATCCATAGAGATCATTTCAGGGTGAGTCCTAAGAAATCCACTTTTATTTAGGAGGAAACAGGATATGGAGGTACCTTATTTTATGCTAACACAGGAGTTGTTCGTTGGTAATTGAACTGGCTGGTCTTGCCTATGACCTTTTTTTTTTACCATGAAGGTGTTGATCATGTTTTCTCTCAGTTCTTCTTGAACAGAAGTTTTTATCACTAGTATGATGCACATGCCTAGGATTTTTTACACTTGTCATTCGTTACCATCTTCCACTCAAAGTCTTTTTAAGCTCAGAAACCACTCTTCCTTACACCTAAGATTTCTGAAGGGGTTGACTTAATAATGATATTCAGAACATTACTGCAAAAGACTGGCAGCTTTTAAATTAGGTTCAAAGTATAATCAGTGGAGTACTGGCCCTCGGTTCCTGAAAAAAACCCGACAGATTGTATCAGTTGCACAACTATAGGATCTTGGGTGCTTTCCCTATTTTCCAGTCAGAAATCCCAGGACAATATGAAAAAAAATATTTGAAACTGAAATATTTAAAGCTAAATCTTTATGCTAATAATTTATGCTAATAACATAATTATATTTATGGTGATGCAGTTGATACGCTTGAGGGAAGGGATGCCATCCAGAGGAACTTTACAGGCTTGAGAAGTGGGCCCATGTGAACCTCATGAAGTTCGACAAGGCCACGTGCAAGGTCCTGCAACTGGGTCGGGGCAATTACCAGTATCAACGCAGAGAGCGGGATGAAGGGATTGAGAGCAGCCCTATGGAGAAGGACTTGGGGGTATTAGTAGATGACAAATTACATAGGAGCTGGCAACGTGCACTCGCAGCCCAGAAGGCCAACCATATCCTGGCCTGCATCAGAAGCAGCGTGGCCAGCAGGTCAAGGGAGGTGATTCTGCCCCTCTGCTCTGCTCTGGTGAGACCCCACCTGGAGTCCTGCATCCAGCTCTGGAGCCCCCAGGACAGGAAAGACATGGAGCTGTTGGAGCAGGTCCAGAGGAGGCCACAAAAATGGTCAGAGGAATGGAGCACCTGTCCTGTGAAGAAAGGCTTAGAGAGCTGAGGCTGTTCAGCCTGGAGAAGAGAAGGCTCCAGGGAGACCTTATTGTGGTGTTGCCGTATATAAAGGGGGCTTGTAAGAAAGCTGGAGAGAGACTTTTTACCAAGATCAGTAGTGACAAGACAAGAGGCAAAGGTTTGAAACTGAAAGAGGGGATGTTTAGTTTGGACACAGGGAAGAAATTGTTTTCAACAAGGGTGATGAAACACCGAAACAGGTTTCACAGGGAACATGTGGATGCCCCATCATTGGAAGTGTTCAAGGTCAAGTTGGACAGGGCTCGGAGCAACCTGTTCAAGTGAAAGATGTCCCTACCCAAGGCAGGGAGTGTTGACTAGAGTATCTTTGAAACTCCCAATGCAAACCATTCTATAATTCTGTGATTCTAAAACTGGCTACCTGTAGTAAAGTAGTGAACATCACAAGCTAGTGCTATGAGTTGGTTGTCTCAGCAGAGAACCACCTCATGCTGCTGCAGTAGCCCTGTGTTCTTTTCACAGCTCTGAAGCTGGCTGTCACACATAGTTATACCTGGCACTCGCTCTTCAGAAAGGGCAGCACACCCACACTCAGAGCATACTGCTCTCAAATAAAACTCACAGGTTGCTCTCCTCATATAGCTCCCATCTAATTTGTCATATGGTATAGTTACAAGAACCTGTTTTTAACCAGTAACATCTTCTTCTGACCTACCAATTAGTACAGCAAGGTGGATACAGCATAAATCGATGGGAGGATGCTAAACCTCTCAGCACTGTTCTCTGCACAGTGGGGGAAAGCAGAATTCCATACTACCCTTCCCTTGAGCTGAACTAAATTAGACGGGAAGAAAAGTTGTTACTCTCCTTTCATGCTCTTGCTCTACTTTGCCCTGCAAGTTTCTACCACCCAGCATCATCCTCTGCCAATGAGTTTCTCCCAGCCACCAATAAACACAAGAATGAAAGTGATAATTGCTCTTCTCAAGTAGTCTGAGAGCAACAGAAAAAGTTCCTCACTTTCTTGTTCCTCTAGAACTACTTTGGCATAACTCCACAAATCTGTGAATTAAACAATCCAGAATTTCATTAGTCCAAGCAACAAGAGGATCATGTGTAAAAGGCACTGGATGGCTGAAAAATAATGCCTTTCCATAATATGAGATCTGCCTGAGATATTGCCTAAAAGTGCTTGACATTGTAGCTGCCAAAACCCCGGAGTTATACGATCCTTTAAATAGTGGTAAAAATGTAAGAGCCTTTAAAACAGAGCAGTGCTTGCGTGTCCTCCCTCGCTGCAGATGCACAGGCGCTCACTGCATTTTGCTCCCCGCAGGGGACGTGGGGGTGCAGTTCCTCCCCCCCCGCCCGGACGAGGTGCCCAAGCTCCCAGAGGAACGCCAGTGACCCGCGGACCCCCCCCCGTCCCACCGGTGGCCAGGGGCGTCCCCACCCCCCGAGCACGGGCTGCCCCGGCTGTCCCGGGCTACCGACCGCCCCCACCGCCCGCGCACGAGGCCTACGAGGAATACGTAAGTAACCGCGTGCGTGCATGGCAGCTGTCCACCAGACCCTGTGGTGAGCACCAAGTACCTCCAAGACGGGAGACTCCAGATCGATGACTCCTCTGTCTCTGCTGCCTGCCTCCTGCGGTGAATTACAGTCTGGGTGACACAGCATGGCCATAGACCTGTGTTTTGGGTGACATGGGTTCGTAGGATTGTTCGCAGCTTAGTTTTGGATACGAGAAGGACGTGCTGGTTAGCTCTCAGGGCATCACAAAAGAGCAATACGGGTATTCTAAAGACTATATTATAACAAACTAAAAGTCACTCATTAATGTAGGCAAGTTGTTAGGAATAACAAAGTATATCCTTGGTGAGAAAACAGGGTTTTTTTTTGTTCTTCCAAGTCCTTTTTATTGTGTATAAATATATGTATGTATATTTGTATTCAGCATTGTGTTACAGATACAAAACAAATAGAAATTCAGGTAATTTTCATGAAAGCTGATAAGATCATGCATATTGAGCAAGGAGCAGTACTAACACTCACCTTTCGTAAGAGGTGTTAAAAATAATTGTGCTGTAAACATCAAAGCTTTCAAATCGTCCTCATTAATGTCCCCTCCTGGAACTATCACCATAACAACACATATCTAAGTAGAGGAGAAAGTACCATCAAATATGATGTCTAACTTCTTTCAGGTGTGGCAAATCCAAGGGTAAGATGAACATCCCATCCACTCCATAATCCTGTTACTAAGGGAACCATTGAGAAGATACAGTATATCTGAGAAGATGCAATTTTATTCAGTTAAAGGTCTTCATAGAACAGAAGAAAGGAAATTGAAATAGAAATTAATCTTTGTTGGTACAGCTTTACTCAACCATCTGTATTTGTAGAGTAGAGATTAGATCATGGCCACTTCAAATCAGGGACGTGCATTCTGTTAATGCCAAGAGTCACAGCTGAATAACAGCTATAAAAAAGGAGGGGAAGAAAGTCACTCTCTGTTATTGTTTACCTCAACACAGTGTCCATCTTTAAATGAGATTAAAGTCCTGATAAAAAATGAATATAAAAAGTATACCCCTCCTTGATAGGTAGTATTTTATCTGTTAGTATCAAAATATGTGAGACCTTCCTGTTCTGTGCAGAACTGTGTCTTTTCCTAATCCATGAGTGACAAATTTCAAAACAGAATCCCTGTAATGTAAGATCAAGATTATAAACTAAGAATTTTTTTTTATTATCCATCTACAGTACTGGTAAATGTCCTAAGGTATTGAACAGCTTTTAGGAAACATTTCTTACACTTTTTCTGGATGGTAAATATATGGAAAGCAGAAGAAGTTGAGGCAGCTGGATTATCAAGGTTAGGAAAGCATTCAGCCATTTCCACATGGTTTTGAGATGCTTACACTCTCAAGAGCACAAAAGATACAGAAAATTAAAGGAGTCATTTTAGTTTGTGATAGATTCTCCCAATAAAAACAAAGAAATATGTTTGTGTTTCTGTTTTGCCTACTTTGGTAGTAGAAAGAAACATCTTGCCTTGTAGGACAATTTCAATTGTTTTGGAGATCATGCTATCTGTTATGCCCTTTCAACATCTATATTCCACAGCTGGGAATACATGGGCTTCCCCAACTGGCTGTCATCCACCCATTTGCAATGAAAATCTCTTGCCATTTTGCAAAGACTTGTAAGTGTGTTCTGAATCATCTTGGTATCTTAAGGACTGGCATAATAATTAAAACTCTGTTGGTGTGCAGGTAGAAGGAAAAGTTCACTGTGACATATCTGCATATGAATTTATAAATTATATTTTAGGGAAAAATATTTTTAATTTTGCGGGAAATTATCAACACAGTTTTTCTTTCCAAATAAACCACTGCGTCACATATTTGGCTGGATACTAAAAGCAAGTGGATCTGTTTGTTGACCAGCAACAAGCGTCGCGTGTAATTGTTGTTCTTTCACACTGAATGCTAGAAATGAAAAACTAATTTATAATGAATAATTTATCCAATTTACTTTGTCTCATTTTCTGCTTGTAGGCAACCCACAAGCGTATTACAATTTCTTTATGTGTTTATGCTTTTCATTTTTGACTACTATACGCAAGCACCATTGGTTTGATTAGCTGTGCCCATGAATGCAATGTCATTGATGGTCAGTATCAATATTGTGATTTTTCTTTGCTCTAATTGAATACAGTCATTTGATCGCTGAGCTAAAAGTGAACTCAACAAATAGAACAGAATTGCTGCAGTGGATTTTTTTTAAAATGTTTAAACAGCATTTCCTGAAAAAAAATCTGTAGATATTTGCTCAGTGCTACTAATCAGAGATTGTATTGACTGTTTGACCTTGAAACATCTCACTGTTCAAATCAGTTTGAATAAGCATTTAAAAGTTTGGATCGCTCCTTTGTAATTATGCAATATGTAAATATTTCGAGGTTTCCTGATGGCCTTTGTGAGTGCCCATAAAAGCAAATGTCTAAAGGTTTCTCAAAACAAGTGAAGTCTTGCCATTTTACCATGTTTACATTCAACATTTTGAATGTCAAGCCCAACCAAAGAGAAAATAATTTGGAACAACTTTCAGAAAAGAAGAGGGCTAGAAAAGGAAGGGGGCATGACACACCTCACACCTTTTTCTTTAGTGGCTTTTGAAACAGATACGTAGCTTTTATTGGGTGCAGTGTAGACAGTATCTCAGAGGAACTTCAGAAGAGAATCCACAGGAAGAGGAGGCACAGATGTTAGAAGGTATATGCAAAAGGAAAAAAACGGTTACTATGTGAACTTTCCCCACTTTGAAAACAGCTCATTGTGTGTGAATTTGGATGGAGAGCTTAACTAACAGCTGTCGTGCAGCTTCTGGGGTCAGAGAGGTGGTCCTGGGGTTGTAACCTGGTGCATAAGAGTGCTGTTCAAAGTGACTAACCTTAGTTCAGCGTGACCAGTCTGTATGTGCTCCTCTTCTGCTAAAGGAGAGGTCCACTAAAGTGCAGTTTGGAGCAGAAGCTTGCACTGGTCATTGTGAACCTTCCTCAGAAGAATTTCCTTTCATGAAGCTGAACTTAGGCCTTTGTCATTGCTCTCTGAGGTATGATTTTACACCTGTAATCCACAAATGCTGCCATACTGAAGATGTCCCTAGCTGCTGAAAAGGATTCAAAGCTTCATTAAAAAACAGCCTTCTGGACCTCGGGTTCTGTTGTGTTTTTTTTTACTGAAAACCACGGTGTGATTCCCCATTAAGTGCATTGTGGATCACACTTCTACTCCTCCCACAAGTGCAGTACACTTGAATTGCAGCTTAATTCTTCTTTCCATGTGTATCAATACATGCCATGACCAGTTGGCAGCAATGGCTCAGTCTGGAACTTTTCAGGAGCACTGACTTACCACTGAGCCGTGTCGTTGGTCCCGGGATGCTGGAGAGCCGGCAGTGGATGGTAGGGAGGGCAGCAATGCCAGCAGCCTCCTCAGTTAGAACTAGTGACAAGATGGCTCTTTGGGATTTATCAAATGCATTTTGCAAGTTAGGTTCATATCCAACACTGTATTGGGCAGAGATGTTTCGAGTAGAGAGAACAGTACTGGAATTGCATTTTATTTGCCTCTTTTAAACTTGCATCTCATGCAGTTGTGGTCTGAGGTATGAGTTTAGTATGTTAAACAGCTGATGTCCCATCTACAAATCATACAATGTTTCTATATTAGTGCACAATGTTTCTATATTAGTGCACCAGGATAGGTCCTGCTTCATCACCTTCATGATGACATTGCTTTTGTGCCATTTTTTCATTGCAAACATTAGGATTTGTTTGGTTGGACATCTACTTTTATCATCTACTCAAAATACTGTGAGGAAAATTAACACTGGTATCATCTTTACAGATTGAGGGGAGACTTCTGAAGTCTTTTCTCAACAAAATTAAGCAACTTTAAAGGCTAAGGTCTTGTTGGCAACTTATGAAACAGGCAACAGACACAACTGATTGAGGTTCATGATTTATAGAGAAGTGAAGAGCAAGGAGTGCTTGAGTAGACCTTCCACTGGAAGGAACATCCTACTGAGGCAATGAAGCCATGTTCAGCATAATATATTTTAATCTGAGCATCCAGACTTTTTCACTCAACACTAAAGCCCAATATTTGAAGGGTGCTTAGCCCAAATATAAGCCCAAAATACCATTGCTTTCAGATCCTGTTTTTGGAAAGCATTTGACTCGAGCTGTATTTTTGCCTTCTGAATCAGAAGTTAATAACGAGCTGTGCAGTGAGGTTTTTCTTCATGTTTTTAAAGAGCTATGGTGAGCCTTGCTAAGAGGTCTAATGTGAATCCAGAAGTGACTTAGCACTTGTTCCCTTACCCCAGATGCAAAAAATTACCAAAAAAGAAAAAATTTGGTACTAACATACACATTGTTTTTATATTGTATTTGCACTTGCATTTTTACTCCGGGATAAGAATGGAGACTTTTTACTCTGGGATAAGAAAGGAAACTTTTGCACAGAAAACTACTCATCTTAATATGAATACTTAGACAAAGAAATACACAATTTGTTTGCAAGAAATAGGCCAGTCTGTCGAGACACTGAGAAGCTGGTACAGCTCCTGGGTGTAGGACAACCAGATTAAAGAGCAATTTTAAATGCAAATATTCTTTCTCACCTCTCATTTCACAGATCAAACCAGCCAAACGCAGCTTCTTGTTATCTGCTGGAATAAGCGAAGAGCAATGCTTTTAGAAAGTCACTGGAAAAGAACCACACAATAAGATAGATTGTGCTTTTAATGTCATGCTGTTCTTCCTCTTATTTCAAGCTATTTAAAATGAAAGCAAATGCCATTCAACTGTTTAGTCGAAGATCAATGGTTATTTACATTTTTCAACAGTTTTCAAACAAACTGGAAGCACTATGCTCATGTTTATTCAATGCCAGCCTAGACAATGAAAGAACTAACAATAAGAGGCATTTTGTCACACTTTAACATTTTAAAAAGAATA